GCCTATGACGGCGGCACGAGCAGCGCCCTCCAGTACACCCAGTCTTGCGACCACAACTAAGAAATTCCTGAATTGAATGCGGGGCAGGTGGCAGACTGACCCAATCTATTCTTAACGTGCCATCGCCTGTAAGACACCAGCCTACAGATCAAACCAACACAAATCCAATATCAAGAACAGTAATCAATATAAGAACAATTAACAAGCAGCATGCACATCACTGTATCAAAATACAACACCTTTCGCAAAGACAGGCAGGAAATGCATAGTATGCAGAAAAGAAGATTCCTTACCATGTCCATTCTCATGTGGTAGAGGGATAACTGGACAGGGCTCAAGACACCGTCGCCAAATAGCAGCCTGATAGTTTGCACGGGCGCTATGCTTCACAAGTGCACCTCGGCATGGTGGAAGCTGGTTGGACTGTGCATTCCTGGTGCAGAACAGCTCATAGCGGGCGCTATTAACGCTAGAGCAATGGGGTACCTTGTAGTATGCACAAACAAACTTCTCCAGGGCGGCTAGGCTTTCTGTCGACAATGACTGAAACTGCTTCCCAACGCTGGTGAATACTTCTCTAGCAGCATGATAGATGCTGTGCAGCTCCTGCTGGTCATGCGTTGCTTAAGCTGCGGAGTGGCTCGCCTCTTCGACAAAATCCTCGTCGCTGTCTACATTGCGGCCAGTTTTACTTCCATGGAGCCCTGCAATTATTTCACTAGCGCTGCCGGTTGCATAAACAAGTTCCGATCGATTCCGAGCAGATGGGCGTGCGAAAGTGACCGTGTCACCGAATTTGCTGACTAACAGCGCCTTCACTTTATCAGTCCGAGCACACTCACCAACAGCGGACGTGTACTGTGAAACAATTGCGTTCATGCTGAGAACATTGCACTCGTCGAAGAGTTTGACTGCTATGGTCTCAACAAATTGGGACAGGCCATTACAATACTCCAAACTTCCCGACTCTGAGTATTCAAGTGCTTGGTCAGATACCTCCATGGCAGCACTCGTACCAGTGACAGTCGCACTCGTGGCTGATGAGGATTCCTGTACGAGCTTGCACAATGTAGTCTCTCGCACATAATTCAAATAACAATACTTATGATAAAATACTTCACGCGCGATAAGACTGCTGGTTCCACTGATGGCAACCAGGATTCTTTCGTCCTTCCGGATGGCTGCGGCTCTCCGAAGTTTCGCCTCAGCATCCTCCGTCTGGAGCTGTGATGTCGTCTGCTTGCAGGTGCTCTTGGGGACCTTCTTGGACAAGCTACCACAAAAAATGCAATTTCTACGTCCTGGTTCGATCAAGGGAGCTTGAACAGATTGCCGTGTGCTACGTTTCTGCTGCACTGGCGCTGCAGGCTCCTTTTCCGCCATCCTTCTACTCCATGGCAGACACTAGACACGGAAATAAACGGCCAAAGAAGACGAGCTGTGGAAGAATCTGTCAGCTTTCGACTTTGTTTCGAGTTCGCCAAATTCAAAAATTTCAAAAATCGCCACGTGCATGCACCACGTGCACGGCGGGAAATTATGTGCGACTTTTACGCATGCCCAAAATGTGAAAACACGAGATCTGTGCAGGCACAGAGCGTTCGTCAGCCGAAGAGGAAACCACCCACTGTGAGGCTCAGCACCACCGCACGGACTCAATTCTTTCACCAAGATACCCCCCTCAGCTAGCTCTATCGGTACATGCCAACGAAACTTGGTACCACCCCGGGGGGAACGAAAATTTTTTTTAGACTCAGTTCAGCCCTTTGGCCTGCGGACTATGTGTGCCGTGTCCTCTCCCGGGCTTTTACGACTCCCTGGTGTTGATAAACTTGTGATCTTTCACTAGTTTTAGACATGTCATATTTCTAGCACTGAGGTAACGTATAACATCGTATAAGAGGCTTGGCAGTTGTTGAAAAAAAAAAAAAAAGGTAACATGTGTAGTCATAGAAATATTATCAACACCTAAGAACACGAAACGAAAATGATTCTGTGAAATGAGTTGTGAATTTGCAGTGCCCAGGGAATGAGCATGTGTGCTCACCAATTTTTTTCGAGTTATGAAGCTGCAGGATGCATGCCTCACCGCTACTTCGTTAGAAAGCAGAAAGCTACAATTATGTAGCTAGCTGTACATGTAGTGATGATGTCACAAGCTCGATCTCAGAGCGAGGACGACATTCTGAGACGGAGATTCTAGAAATAAAAAAGATCTTGTCCGAATCCTAGGTCAGTCACGTACAGTAGAGCTAGGGTACCGGGTGCCGATTATCCATTTTCCTCGGTACGGGGCGCGTGGCTTAGGAGTACAATCGTCATGTGTGTTCGGACAAGGGAGCAGCTGGCACACATCAATCTAAACCATGCACATCATAATAATTATTATTATTATTTATTAAATTTTTAATTATAAAAGTTATGTACTCTTTATACAGTCGTCCCTCTCTAATCCGGCACCTTTTGCAACGGCATTTTCTGCTGGATAAACAAGGGTGCTGGATTATCAAATCCTGCCCTCCAACCCGGCTCTCCTAGTAACGACTTACGTACATGTTTGTGTCGTACCGTCAACATGTAGGGATTTTCTGTGTCAATCCAAGTACTTTGTCAAAAGTTTGTGGAATGCATGTCTATAACATACACTTGGGAATATCCTATGCACTGGCATAGGATATTGGCACCGGTACGTTATGCGATGTACAACTGCTGGATTAGAAAATCAAATTATGTACAGTTTGAGTGATTTGTTGCAGAAAATCGCTGCTGGAGGCGGAATTCAAGTGCCGCGTAGAAAATGAACTGAAAAAACCCGTTTTGCCAGAAAGTGTGCTGGTTTGCAAGGGTGCTGGATAAACAAGTGCCGGATTAGAGAGGGACGACTGTATTATATAAAATTAATAGTCATTAGAATTAATATTTTAAGAAAGGGTTTGCTCCCCACACCGGAGCTCGCGCTATTCCGCCGACTTTACTTGACACTTGACTGACTCACGACTGCCATCCAGAGCACACGAGAAGTCCATCGAACCTTTGACTCGGCAAACCTGCAAGAAAGCACCACTCCCTGCTCAATACACAGTGTTTCGGGGAATTCACCCCTCATCAGTTGAGCTTGAGTAGGCTGAGGAAGATTGTGCCTGAAGAGCACCACTTATATAGTGCTCTCCAGGCACAAACAATTAATATTTTCATCAATTTTATCATTCTCTTCGGCAGCTCCTCAAAATTACATCGTGGGGACAAAATTAAATTTGACGCAAACACCATTCATGTTGCCAACTTTCCACACATCCTGTGCATCATCATTTCGTCCCTTGCAAATGATCTGAATCCAGTGCAAACTGGCATTCCGAATACTGTAAATCAAGTTCAACAAATGTGGCCTGTGAGAAACTGGTTACCAATCTCGAAATGAAGCTTTTGGCCGTCAATAGACTTTGGCCGGTTGGAGTTTTCACCAAAGAAATCGGGACTATTGAGCCATGGATGCATGTGAGAGCAACAAAATTTGCATCCATGACTCAATTATGCATTATTTGCCTCCATGACAAACTTTGGTCTGCGATTTAATTTGGCTGGTTGGTGCAATTGCGACACTTTACCCTATACAATTATTTTAATATACTGAGCGAAACAGCTGTCAGGAGCTGGATGCGGAACATCTATCCAACAACGAACTCCCTCTCTATGGAGTCACATGATGGTGTTGGGAATGTGGGCCAAGAGCGCAGTGTGGAGAGGTTCCGATAATCGGCATTCTATTGTACGGATCTTGTTGCACATACAGATACCGTACTACCGTACTCGCGCGATTACTGCCCCCGGGCCGGGGGCACTATTCTTTCGAAGTCCATCACAGATGGGGCACTATTCAAAAGAAGCGGCACTATTTTTTCAATGCCGGTACATTTGCGTCATCCAGCATCAAAACAAAGAAGGCAAAGAAAAAACAGCCTAAAATTTACCGTAACCTATCACGACTCAACAGAAACGGCAACAAGAACTTGACACCACCAGTGGCCCGAGGAATGACATGAACAAGAACACTAGAAAAAGAACACCAAACGTGCACATGTGCTTGGTTACAAGCTTGGGGGGGGCACTATTATTCAAGAGAGGGCTTTATTGTTTTTAGGGGTGTGCACGGGTAGTCGGGTACCCGTGCTACCCGTGAGGACCTCGGGTACAGAATAGTTACCGAAAACCCGAAGTCGCAGATGACATCATGTACAGTGCACGTGTACACACACTCATGATGTAATAATCCCTATGTCTACCCAGTGTGTAAGGGAAGGGGTGGTGCTACCATGGAAACATTAGAGAGGTTAAGATGCACGTTATTTCTGACATGACGTGAAAGTTCAGCTTGTGTTATTTGGCTCGCGCGTCAAAAAACAACGCAAGTGACCTGCAGCTCACATCGAAATTTGGAGTTTACGCCAAATTTGACGTCAAATTTCGCGTCACGTCGGAAATAAGGGTGCATCCTAACCTCTCTATTACCCGATCGAGTACCCGTGCTACCCATGGAAAACTACCCGAACCCGATACCCGAAGAAAATGCGACCGGACTGAGGGCCGACTCAGCACTAATTTTTTTCACTGGCTCTTAGAGACTGGGGCGCTATTCGAGATAGGGTACTATTCAAGAGAGGGCTCTAATCGAGCGAGTACGGTAGGCAAACCGCAGAGTACGATTGGGTTCCGTACAACAGCAACATCGCACACAGTGTCAGCTGTTTAATTCTCGTTTACATCTATAATTATAGCACCGGAGGGTGTACCCAGTGTGCTGACAGTGCTCAACACCGCGGAGGCAGAGCGTAATACAGAACAGAACAACAAGGACAATCAAGGCTTGTTTGCTGCGACTTGAAGTTTCACGCTCAAGTTGCCTGATGATTGCGAGAGCATGAAACTTCAAGTCGCAGCAAACAAGCCTTGATTGTCCTTGCTGTTCTGTTCTCTATAATTATAGCATAATGTACTCGTCATGATTATGGTGTCCATGACGTCGATTATACCGAGAGAAGTATTCTGTGTACTGTACAGATGGCATGAGTGAGTCATAAGAATATGACTTCCAGAGGTGCACTTTTCATTCACAGAAAATAATTATATGGCACACGACCTCAGAGCATGTACGAAATCAAAGGAAAACTGAAACTGGAAATTGAGAAGTGCCACTGACAGGAGCGGCGGCTGCCCGAGAGGCAGGACCATGTTCCCGCACGAGAGGCAGCACCATGTTCCCGCACGCGAGGCAAGACGGCGAGCGCCCGCAAACGAAGCAGGATTGTGCGGCCGTACAAGGGGCAGGGGCTTGGGCTTGCACCCGTACAAGAGCCTTAGAGACAGGGTTGTGCGGCAGATCACTGACACTGATGGAGTTATCAATGGAACGAGTCGCGCAGGCACCACAGAAGGCGAAAGGCCAATGCTCGACCCGACATAGAGCCAGCCGGCATGATGCCGACTGCAAAACTGCACAAGAATGCATTGAGCACATAACAGAGACATCGGCCAACAGCGTTGGATAGAATTATAATACGCTGACTCTATGTACACATGGATGAATTTTTACAGAAAAGTAGCACGGGCTTGGCGCGGTGACCTTCTAGCGTCCTGGGTCCGACGGCTACCACATGTACTACTGCTGCTGTGAGCGTAGCTGCTCCAGGGCCGCGACCGCCTCAGCGTGGTGCAGCTGCAAGAGCTTGACCTGCTCCTCTGCCTGCTGCTGCAGCAAGGCAAACTGGTGCTCGGCGAGCGCGGCCTCCACGGCGCCGGTCTGGACCTGCGCCTCCAGCGCCGCCTTCTGCTCGGCGAAGGCCACCGTCAGGCGCTCGTGTTCGGCGTTCAGCAGCACGATGCGCTGCTCCAGTGTCTCCGCCGTGACCACAGCACCAGCAGTATCGCCGTCGGCGGCTGCTTCACTGCTGCTGGCCAGGTCGAGCTCGGAGAGCATGTCGGCCAGCTCGATCTGCGGCACGTCCTCCGATAGTTCCAACACGCCCGGTGCGGTGCCTGCGGCCTCGTCACGTTTAGGATCTACACGACAAAACAACACACGTGCGCGCACACACGCACACGCACACACGCACACACACAGAGCAAAGCAGGCATTTGATCAGAGGAGAACGAGAGCAGCAGGACACCAGTAGGCGCGACTACTGTACAACATGTTAACTTCGGTGTAACTTTAATTTCGGCAGAGAAACCAGGCACCTATAATTTAGGTTACACCTAATAGGTGCTAGAGTACGCACTGAGTATGAAAAGAATAGGCTGGTCACCAATTCTGCAGTACACCTGAAACCTGGCAGGTCCATGGCACCGAAATGTTAATACAGTGGTCCCTCTATAATCCGGCACCATTTGTGCCACGAAAATCTGCTGGATTAGGGAGGGTGCTGGATTAACAAATCTGATTTACTGCTGCAATGTGCATGAAGAGGACATTTTGGCTACTGAAAATTGTGCTGGTTTATCGAGGGTGCTGGATTATAAAGTGCCGGATTAGAGAGGGACGACTGTACATCTAAAAGTAAATTACACGCTTTACAGCAGTTGTAAAAAATCTGACTGCTCGCAAGCCAAGTACATGTATCAGCCAGTCGGCAGGAAGGGCGCGATCCAACATTAGAAGCAGCCACCGTCATCCCATAATGAATTCCGTCCACACCACACTGCAGACACTGTGCACTGTAGAGACACACCAGGCAAACACTGACAAACACTGGGGACATACCGTGGTAAATGTTGACCTTCTGCCGGAGATCGGAGTCCTCCTCAATGTCCTCCAGGAAATCAGTGTAGTCACTGCAAGAAAAAGAAGAAAAAACGACAAAAAATACACAAAATCAGGCACAGACACCAAGAAAATAAATCATGGCAGAAAAAGAACAGGGCAGATCTACTCTCTGTGGTTCGAAATGCGTTCAATGCAAGCAGAGCTGCTTTGTATTATTTTTATTTTTCATGTGATTGCATTTGTATAGGAAGTGTACATGGTACGGGGACAGTGGAAACAACAAAGCTTTAAAGGCAACATGGGCACCGACATAATGTGACCTTTTAATGCAGGGATTGGGACATTGAGTGGAGTTGGAACCAACATGGCTGTCCTGTATGGTCACGTGACACCTTGGTGTTGGGAATGCCAGCCTTGCCAGGGATTGACTGGAGCTGGAACCAACATGGCCACCAACACCATGTTTGCCATTGATTCAGAGATTGTCTGGAGTTGAAAGCTGGGACCAACATGGCGGACATCATGTCTGTGACAGACAGATTGAGTCTACGAGCCTCAACAGACACCTTGGACGGCTGTGCGTACGAGTGATGAACAATGAACGGACTGTGCCTCTTACCCATCCATGGAGACTGCGTCGCCATCTCCTTCCTTCTCTTTCTCCAGTGTCTTCAGCTGCCAGTTGCGACGAGAGTGTCGCTTGTGCTTGTCGCCAAAGTGCTTCTTCACCAACACCTACTCAAAAACACACACACACACACACACACACATACAGATCCGTTTACATGTTCTTTACATCCCAGATCAAATTGACTGGTAAAGTTTTTTATTTTTTTATTTTTGACTGGCATAGTGCCTGTATTTCCCCATTGTAAGTCATACTCGAAAATAAGTCGTACCAAGAGTACATAAACCAGAGTGTGCAACTCGGGATGGTTCCTGTGGGAGCGGAATTCGTGCAGTACGTCATCTCTGACGGCATGGTAAGCCACAGGTACGGTGAAAAGTTGCGTAACCAGTCACGGTGGTGCAGGTCACTGAGTTCGTCCTGATTTCGGTTGTTTGATACGGATAGCCTGGTGAATTTACTTGTCGGTGGATGTGGATGTAGCGTACACAGTCCCATAAAAACACCGAAATCCTGAAACTTGACGTCTAAAATCAAGCAAATTTGGCTGCTTCCGGGCTATGAAACACGAAAATCTGAGCTGTACGCACGTCGCGGCTTGGCTGACCTTATCAGGGTGACGTAGTGCACGAACTGCGCTGTTTCAGATCTGATATGCACAGTTGCACACTCTGGTTTATGTACTCTTGGTCGTACACCCATTTTCAGGTTCCAGCCATATTGTTTCGATATACATGTACTCAAGCAAAATAATAATAATAACACATGTACTCACTTCAGTAGCGAGTGATGCTCGATTGTAAGTCGCAACCCCCCTTTTACCCTTGAATTTTAGTGTGAAAAGGTGCGACGTGTACTCAGTGAGACACAGTACTGCAAAGGCAGAAAATTTCGTCGGTCAATAATTTCGTCCAACTCCAAAGAAAGGGATTTCGTCCGGTTGAAAATTTTGTCCATGGATCATAAGAGTGTATACAGTCCATTTCAAAACTATAGACGCGTACCAAGGCAAAAACCGTTATGCCAGCATCTATACCACATAAAATCTGTGATCACTTTGTGCATAATTTTTTCCAAATTGGGCGTCTGTTGTCCAATCGTTTAGAAACTATAATGAGAGTAATTGTGGAGCGGTCCTGAGCAATATTCCGAAAACTATTCTCAAAAAGTTCCAGCCAAATTTGAAATATTTCAAAAACCCTACGCATCTATAGTTTTGAAATGGACTGTAGAAGCGCTGGACAAATCGACATTCGTCCTACATTTAATTTAGTCCAAAAGCTCCTTGGACGAAAAAGACGAAATTAAATTCCAGACGAATATTTACAGTATATTTATTATAGTGCAGGGTCATCTCAAGAATATTGAGGTTCTGCCACACGGTAAACCGTGCCAAAGTACGTATGGAAACCTCGCTCGAAGTGTTTCATACGGATTTTTTCATACCGTTTTCACACGGACTGGACTCCGTGTGAAACTGAGCGTACAGAGTACATGTGGCGGGGAGTTCGAGCATGCTTCGAGCATGCTACGTACAGCAGAACCGCTGCAACGTACGAAAAATCCGTGTCAAACTTCACTGCAGTTGACACGGAGTTTGGTACGTAGTTCCGTGTAGCAGAACCTCTCTAATAGTACTTCATAACCCATAGAATGTTATATCCACTGGTTTAAGGGAATGAGCAAACGGGAAATGATATATCCAGGGTACTTTATAGGGCTGAAACATGACCTATGATGGATATGTCATAGCCATATCGCCGAGGGAACGCGGGCAGAAATTCCCAGGACTTCTGTCAGGTCGTTGTTGTCCCGGACCGGGTCAGAAAAGACTGGGAACAGGCAACAGTGTGACCAGTACAGTCAACTTTGCTAATAACGACTGCGGATATAACGACAATTCGCGAATAACGACAGAATTTCCATGCCCAGAGCAAAGTCCCAGCCGACTGTAATACATAATTATAATGAGCCTTCGGGTACAACGACACTTCGCGAACAAGGACACTTTTCTGGTGCCCCGCCGAGTGTCGTTATAAGCGAAGTTGACTGTAAGTCTGGAAGATCTGGCGGACTGAGAATGAGAGTGACGGACTTACCACATCAGGCATCTTGTCCACCTTGAGCTTTGCCAGGTTGTCGTGGTTCAGGTTGGCGTTCGTGAAGTCAAACCTGACAATCAGAAGACACGGAAGAGGAGACAACTCAGAGATCAGAACCGATGGAGGAAAACGGAAGTCTGAACTGACTATGGCCAGTATCAAGGGTATATAACCCCAGAGTGTGCAACTCCCACATACCCTGCTGTCCCGACAGAATTTCAAGTCGACGTCATTATTTATGATGCAATGCTCCTTGCACCAGTGATTTACAACATGTGTACGGGTGTCAACGCATCACACGTTTTTCTTTGCAATAATTTGTACAGGATCCGATGGGCGTTGGTCCACCACAGGTTCCGGGTTCGTCTGATAATCCGTGCACAGTGCGCATTGCATCATCAAAATGACGTCAACTTGAAATTCTGTCAGGACAGCACCCATAGTCGAGTTGCACACTCTTGGGGGTTATGTACTCTCGCTAAGACCAATGGAAGAGCAGAGGACAAGACTGCAGTACTTGGGATGGTCTGTCAGCCCCCCCCCCCCCCTCCTTGCGCTTGCGAGTCAAGCCTGAGACCCAGTGAACAAAGGCTTTTTCGCAGAACGTCTAGGAGAGGAATATGATGCGTGTGACAAGCTGCGGTTCACACGGGGGCAAGCGGATGCCTGGCAAGACAGAGCCCGGCCAGCTTACCCGAGTGCGGTGTCGCCAACGTTGAACAAATGTCCGAGATGCGTGCGGCAGTGATACTGCCTGTCGCTGACGCCCAGCTCCTCGCTGCGCACCACCCATGCATCCGCCAGCGTGAACTACAGCATGGACAAAACAACACCAACACCAACAACAACAACAGCAGCAAGAAGATGACAAAGAAGATCAACAACAGAAACAGTGGCAGCAACAGCAGCAAGAGCATCAGTATCAGCAGCAGCAACAACAATAACAACAAGAAGTTTCTCTTATTGGCCACCGGCCATCGAAGAATAAAGATTTCAGTAAGAGGAACAGCAAGATGATAGAGTGGCAGCAGCAGCTTAAACAAACACAGCAGGATGATACATACTAGTAATCTGTGGCAGTACTGGATCATCAACAGGAGGAGTGACAATGCCCACTACAGACAGTAGAGGATCCCGCAAGCACTACTGCTGCGATTCTGGAAACTTGAGGGGAACAACGACAGTGAGCATGACCATCAGGCACGTAGTCCGCATGGGGTACAGGGGCACGTGCACCACCCCCCCCCCCCCAAAAAAAAACTTTTTGACCTAGGTTCAGCATGCACATAATGACCATGAAGGACATGCACCAGTCATCCTACACACATGCGGCCGTGCACCCCCCCCCCCCCCTAAAAGTGGGACGGGCTAGTACATCCCTGACCATTGACTAGATGTTTTGCCTACCTTCTGTGCTAGTCCACTGAGTCCTTTGTTACCGGAGGCACCACCTCGGCTTGGGGCCTTGATGACATCAATCTCCATGATAGTGAACTGAACGAGGTCACGTGATGTGCTCACACTGGTGAACGGCTGCCTCCAGAACATTGCACTGGACATTTCAGCAACTGTTACACACACACACACACACACACACACACACACACACACACACACACACACACACACACACACACACACACAAGCAGACATGAACATGATTATGTGCCCCTCCCCGCACCTACACACTCACCCATGCCCCCCCCCCCCCCCTCCACACACACACCATGCTACCCCCCCCCCCCCCCCCCCTAGCCCAACACACACTCACCAACACCCCACGCATGCACACATCCCCCCCCCCCCCCCCCCCTCCACACACACACACACACACTCACCAACACCCCACGCATGCGCACATACCCCTCCCCCCCCCCCCCCCACACACACACTAAACCAGGCTCAAACTGAAAATGAGCTGTGCATTGTGCAAACGCCCAAGGCACTGTCGCCACACACAAGAACGCCCAGCCAAAAGATATGAGAGCGGGAGCACGGCAGTCTCCAATCTGCTCACTCAGTGTGGTGAGATACCGTAGTGTCTTGTATAAAAGCCTATCTCAAAATTATAGAAGCCTGATTTTCAAGATGTTGGTACATCAGCCTGGCTTTAGTGTTGACACACATAGAAACACCTGGTTTGAATAGAAGCCTGATGTGAATGGAAGCCTAGGCCTGACATCAGCTTCTACAGGAATACGGCCGGCTTTAATACGCGACATGACGGTATGTAAAGCCAGAGGAATGCATGCGTGTTGCTGAGAGCCACCCACCTTGCAGTGTCCATGGATCAATAACATGAAGACCTGTACTGACACGATAGCATATCACTAGCGGTCTGGGTTGGGGTGACAGCAACAGAAGCAGCAGCAGCAGCAACAGCAGCAGAAAAACAGACCGGATTAGGTTTGCTGGAAACATGTGTGTGTGTGTGTGTGTGTGTGTGTGTGTGTGTGTGTGTGTGTGTGTGTGTGTGTGTGTCCTGCGATGGGTGTCAAATGGTCAAAATGGTGCGTGCGTGTGTGTATGTGTGTGTATGTGTGTGTATGCGCGCGTGCGTGTATGTGTATGTGTGTGTGAGAGAGACACAATGATGTCATTACAACAAAAATGGGTACTAGCAAGAGTAGATAAACAAGAGTGTGCAACTCCGGATCTCTCCTGCACAATCTGCAGATAGGATGCCCACGGCGGAATTTTTTGTTGACGTCACCTTTTTTCAGAAGAACGCGCATTTTGCCGCAGAGCAGTGTGAGAGCACGTGCTGGGCACCGACCTTGTAGTGTAAAGCCGGCCAAGAGCACGAGGGAAAACATTCAGAAAGCCTCGCAGCGCGTGCGTCGTCGAAAAGATTACGTCAACAAAAAATTCCGACGTGGGCCTACCCATCCGCGAGTTGCACACTCTTGTTTATCTACTATTGGTACTAGTACACCGCGGAAACAGGCAGTGGCAGCAATAGCCATGTAGTTTTTACAGAATACCAGTACTTACCGAATACTGCCGATAGACTGTGCTAACTTGTTCGGTAAGCACAGGATGTCATCCTAAAGCAGACACGAACAAGAAGACGCCCAGCAAAACGCCATACAGTGAGACTTGAGCAGAATGTTTCCTCCCGCGGGATACGGGATAGAGAACAGTCACACGTTCAGATGCAAGGTAGAGTAGGACTCCGTTAGTGGTGGACAACAACTCTCATAGAGGCGCTCTTATCTACAAGGATACTTCCACATTCGGACCACGTTTCTCTAGTCCCAACAGTTGCCATTCAAGTCGTGATAATGCACTCTGTAATCATGACACTTCATCATTCACGTATTCATCAGTTTGAGGGGAAACCCCAGAACACATATCTCAAGCGCCGACAGTTACTAATCACACTGTGTTAATGCACTCTGTAATCATGACACCTCCACATTAATGTATTCATCAGTTTGAGGGGAAACCCCAGAACACATATCTCAAGCGCCGACAGTTACTAATCACACTGTGTTAATGCACTCTGTAATCATGACACCTCCACATTAATGTATTCATCAGTTTGAGGGGAAACCCCAGGACACAATTCTCTAATCCCAGCAGCTTCCGATTAAGCCGTTGTGACGTATTCCTAATCGCCAGGACATCCACGATGGACACGGCACAAGACACTATTGTTGATGACCTTGCTGCCTTGCAGGTGTGCTCAACAGACACACACACACGCACACACGCACACACACACACACACACACACACACACACACACACACACACACAGACACACACACAGGCACAGACACACACACACTTGTACTTGTTGCTCACTGCCAAAACTGGTCACGTGGGTCTCCCCGGCAGAGTGGAGAGAGACTCAAAAGGAATCACAGACAGACAGACACACACACAGACACACACACAGAGCAACCGGCTGACCTTGCAGATGGGTGCAATTTCCACGCTGAATGTGTACTTGTAGTTGAACGTATTACTGTGGATGTCGTGAGAGATGAGCTGTTCAGATGTCTTATATCTAACAGGACAGAAAGACAGACAAACACACAGACGGACAAACACACAGACGGACAAACACACAGACAAACAGCTAGAAAATCTATATAACGTACAGCAGTAGCTAGCGTAGACATACATGCATACAGACATACAGACATACAGACAGACACACAACAACAACAACAACAACAGCAGCACAGACCAAGAAACATTCCGGGTAAGAGCCCCCCCCCGTCAATAGCCCATGGCTGGATAATCTAGTCGGGGGGGGGGGGGGGGGGGGGATAAGTAGATTGCATCACGTCATGTTCCAGTCGTCCATGTCATCTCCCTAGACACTACGACTCCCTGGTTTTACAGACAACAAGCAACATGGTTCAGTGCAAGATCAAAGAGAGCGATCACTAGCTTACGTGCACGGGACTACAGAGTTGAGGAAGTCCACCATTTTCTTGGCGTGCGATCGGCTATGAAAGAAGAAATCCAGGCCATCTGCAGACGTGCAAATGTGCAAACGTGAACGCAGACGTGTGTGTGTGTGCGCGCGCGCGCGCGCGTGTGTGTGTGTGTGTGTGTGTGTGTGTGTGTGTGTGTGTGTGTGTGTGTGTGTGTTGTCACGTGGCGAATGTAAAGTGGACAAGGACAGTAGAAAAGTCAACACACATGCCAATCCAATCCCAACACACATCAGTGTTGTCAAAAGCACTCTCCCTTTCCTCTGAAGACTCAGGCATCGCACTACTACAGTCCATTTCAAAACTATAGACGCGTACCTAGGCAAAAACCGTTATGCCAGCATCTATACCACATAAAATCTGTGATCACTTTGTGCATAAATTTTTCCAAATTGGGCGTCTGTTATCCAATCGTTTAGAAACTATTATGAGAGTAATTGTGGAGCGATCCTGAGCAATATTCCGAAAACTATTCTCAAAAAGTTCCAGCCAAATTTGAAATATTTCAAAAACCCTACGCGTCTATAGTTTTGAAATGGACTGTAGAACTTCGACACACACACACCAACACTCTTTTTTTTCTTTTCTTTTTTTAATTCAACCATTTCGGGCCAAAGAAGACACCTGGCAAATACGAACTTTTAAAACATGATTGTGTGCTCCCCATGTAGAATGTATGTCTATCAGAGATGCAATACAGAACAGTAAAACCTGTAACTAAAGACCACCGTGACTAGCGACCACCCTGGTACTACAGACCACCGTGACTAGCGACCAGCCTGGTACTACAGACCACCGTGACTAGCGACCAGCCTGGTACTACAGACCACCGTGACTAGCGACCAGCCTGGTACTACAGACCACCGTGACTAGCGACCACCCTGGTACTACAGACCACTTCAGCAGGCACGGACGGTCTCACATTCATATTATGGTTGTGCGGTGCAAACCTCTAACTAGGGACCACCTGCCACTAAAGACCGCTTTCTCTGGCCCCAAGCCGGGGTGGTCTTTAGTCACAGGTTTTACTGTACAGGCAGGCGGGTAGGAATGAACAGGCTGGGGTTTCTGCAAGTACACCACAGTGACTCGCACGGGCATAGGCTGAACTGCACGAACATAAGAATTGCCTAGGTAAAGTTACGACTCTCATCCGCCATTCTGCGGCAACCGATAGCACCGTATACGTACTGTCGTGGACATTGAAATCCGATGGGATGACCGGGGCCGGCGCCGTTACTGCTTTTAGCGTGTACGTGCACTGTATACTTCACATGCACACTGTAAAAATGGACCAGCAGTGCTGGCGGCTGCAAGGCCAGTGTCCCATGGCCGCTTGACTTCTCACCGGATTTCAATGTCCGCCACAGTAGTTGCATAATACCAGACAGTCCAACCTTGCCACCTTTCCAAAGCAGGACACCTATATAAAATGTATACGAACTTACAAAGGCAATTGTCTCCCATGTAAATGTACGCAAATGTTTTGGTCCAAAGCAGGACGGTTGGACAGCCATGCAATACTCCGCCATTGAGCGGACACAGAGCACACACTGACCTTTGCACTGCTTGACTTTCACAGAGTTGGAATGCGCCCTGTGTTTGAGGATCAGCTGCTCGAGGAAGAGAAACGTCTTCTTGTGCCGTGCCTTCGGGTAGGGGACGTGGAGAAATTCACGTGAACACACGACCACACATAAGCACACAAGGACACACACACACACACACACACACACACACACACACACGACTCTCAGTTGTCGGTCAGGTGCTGGCATTAGCAATGCGCTCAAGAGGGCCGAACATGCAACAGGGGGGTGGCGCTCACCTTCTGTCGAACTTGGACGACGGCTTTCCAGAAGTCGTCTGCCTCACGCCGATGGCATGCTTCACACATCTGATTCTGGATAACGAACTCGACGACAAACTCCTGCTCGAGAATCGTGGACGTGAACACCTCCTTCTGGACTGACAGCTTTACTTTTAGGCGCTTCGAGTGAGGCTCAGTCCATATAAACCCAGCGTCGATGAGACGAACCTAAAACAAAATGACACGAGAAAAGAATAGACTCAGATGGAGAGCCAAGGATTAATGTATAGCAAAGAAAAGGACCAAGGAACTACAAGTTACGCTATTATGTCCACTAAAGCCACCAGCTACACCAGTTGTCAAGTAACTGGTGGTGTTAGTGGACATTCTAGCGTAACTTGTATTTCCTTGGTCCTTTTCTTTTCTATAGAAAAAGAAGAAAGAATACAGAATGCAGGCGAAACCAGGTTTTCCGGTACCATTTAGTCTGGTTAGACCAACGCTGTCAAGACATCGTATGGATGATTCAAGATACTGCCCAATATCTCTCTCTAGATACACACGCGTCACAGAGTGTAAGGCGTAAATCGGTGGTTCGGTGGAGGGAATTTTCGGTAAACCCGCTTTCCAGGTAAGTGTACTAGCACATGTACTATACCGAAATTTTCGGTGCGTTTAATTTTCGGTAAAAATTTCGGCACCGAAGTTACCGAAAATAAAACACCGCCGAAAAATTCTGCTTCTACAGTAACCGGATGTGTGGTGCTCCGTGACTGTTCATGTAATATAGCTCTGCACTCTAACGAACCGGAGGACTCTGCTCGCTGCCTCTCTAAACATCTAGCCAGTTGTCTAAGGTCCGCAGGCTGCGTATAGTGCTCTACGTCCAGTGGACAGAGCCAGTACAGTATTACAATACTCAGGCTGCGTACAGTGCTCTATGTCCAGTGGACAGAGCCAGTACTGTCTGATGAGCGTTTCACACGGAACTCCGAGTAACGGCGGAAAAAGATTTGTTTGCTCCATTGCTGTGTGATCATTGTCTCTCTAAATATCTACAGTCAGACATCGCTTAACTGCACACATCCGTTTTCCACAAAATATCCGGATAGGCGAGGGAACCGGATAATCGAACACACATACTATATGTATGCATGGCAAATGCTGTAAATCGGTAACCAACGATTTTCTTCCGGACGGCGAGGGATCCGGATAAAAGAGGACCGGATAAGCGAGGTCTGACTGTAGATGTCTGAACGTCTACTAGTAAGTGTTTCTGTGTGCCAGTCTCTGCGTAGAGGACCACTCAGTACTCACCGACTGTAGCTTGATTCTCTTCAGGCAGACGGAGAGTAGTTCGCGTGACTCCAAGGCACACGACACCCAGGCTGTCGGAGGCTGGAGATATCTGAGAGAGGGGGAGAGAGAGAGAGAGAGAGAGAGAGAGAGAGAGAGAGAGAGAGAGAGAGAGAGAGATAGAATACGGGAATGCGGCATACATGGCACACACACACACGCGCGCACACACACACATAGACAAACACACACACACACACATACACACACACACGAGAAAAAACGGCTTACCCATTGCAGAAGAGGAAACTTTCGCTCACAAAAAAAACCTTTTGTTTAGAACCATAAGGTGGTCTTTGAAGACACAGGGTTGTAATAGGTTATTTTTTTGACCAGATGAAACCATACGATGCTTGGCGACACCAGCGATAGGGTCTGGTGAGAAGAAGAACCTATAGCTACTATGGACGGATGGACCAAATGAAGATGGCATCAACGGATTATGAACACACAGGCATGAAACTCTGAGCTACGTACAGTGAAACCTGTCTAAGACGACCGCTCAAGGAACCTTCAAAGCGTGGTCTCCTTATCCAGTGCCATTTGACTGGAAATAGCATCCCTTGGTCCTGGCTGGCAGCAGTGGTCTTCTGGGACAGATGGTCACCTTATCCGAGAGGTCGCCTTGACAGGTTTTACTGTACTCTTGGCAGCAGTCATCCCTTAGGCACCGACACCGACACCTCCATGCACAGAACACACCCCACAGTTCACAATCAAGTCACTTTAAAAACAGCAGGAATCCCTCGATGAGTTGATCACGGTCGGTAGAAACTAAAAAGCATACAGCTGTCGAGGCAGCGCTGAAACCTGTTATCAGCCGAGCGATCTTCGCCGGCAAAGCCACAGGCTCGACGACAGACAAAGATAAACGTGAAGCCACACTTCAGCTCTATGACCGACCGCTGTACTAACCAAGAAGGCATGGCCGGTTCGACTAAGTACCCCAAGACCATCCGCATAGCCTTTCTCCTTACCTTTCGCACGCGCGGCAGAAATGTATGACTCCCTGCTTGGGTATGCCTTCGGTGATGTCGACGCGAGAGCGGATGCAGCCCACGCACATGTTGGACGGGTTGGGCTCGATCAGCGTACCGCACTGACAGCATAGACTGATCCCATGATAAGCACACACACACACACACACACACACACACACACACACACACACACACACACACACACAGATACACACACAGATACACACACACACACACACACACACACACACACACAGATATATACGTACGCACATACATACACACTCACACACGCATACACATACATGCATGTGCACACGCACACACACACACACACAAACACACACACACACACACACACACACACACACACACATCGACCAACAGCAGAACATGCAGCACCCACAGTAAAACTCAGAACGTGAAACAATGAGAGCCACCACCTCTACGATAACTCTGATAGGAATAGCCACTGAGCCAGTACACTGTACATGTACATGTATTCCACTTTCTCTTTCTCGATAACCTGGGCAACATAGCAGGAGGCTCTCGCACGATCTTGGAATCCAGAATACAGGTCTGAGGATCGTGTTGCATGTACTCGTAAAAAAACCTGTTCCATGCCAGGACTTAGACATCCAGAACAGGATTCAACCCGAACATTGGGGATATCGATACAGATGGACGCACAACAATGCATACAAACAAACACGCAAGAAAGCATAACAACGTTCAGGGTGTGCTTGACGTACATCATGGACGCCTGAGTGGCCTCGGCCGGAGCAGCCTCCGCTGTTGCGACATCCATGGCTCCTCGACTAACAGAACTAATTTCTAGTGTGGCAGTGGAAACGCATGAACAAAGCTAGAAGCAGAACTACAAGAAGCGCAAGTTCTCTCCTCTATTCCACGCAAACACACACAATCGAAATATCACCCGAAAATGTAATCTTGAGATTTCAGCGGAGCAGTGCAACCTCGTGCTTTGGCGTTGCTATGCTTACTGCGATCAGCATGATGTCAACATGACTCACACTCAGAATGATTCTGAGAACTGATTATGAAAATAGAACGTACCAGAATATTCGTAATTGTGCATTCCTGAGTTGATGTTCAGCGTCTCAAAGTGCCCGAATGCGGGGAAATCGGCCTTGTTTCAAACTGGGACCATACCATTTTTTCAACAGTTTGCAACAGAACTGCTGAATGACTTTCTTGACTGATTTCAGAGTTTGTCTACAACCTCCTTGCGATACTGTCCTTTCGTCCATCGGATCTTTCTGAGCAGACTTGCGCGTCGGCATGGACCTGAGGTCTGCGGAGTGGTCTGGCTGCGTGGCTGTGCGACCGCTGAGAGGGAATCACCTGACGATATGCAGCCAACGCGACCAATTGATTGCAATAGACATTTGTATGGATCGGCTGTACGCAGCACCACTACTATTTCGGCTCCGCTGCAAGGAATCAGCCAATGCACTGGCCTGTAAACTACATGAAATAGCCAGGGGATCATGCCACAGGGATGCCCCGTCAGGTAGGCGAACCATGGAGACGATTACGCTTGGTCTGTTGCCATGTACTAAAGCTGTGCACGTTCGTTCACTGACGTATTACTGGTATTAGCATGCCTGACTACATACATGGGAAATCCAAGTTGACAATGCATGTCGGGAAGCTGACTATTGTTGTTACTCAGAGCTTCATGGTATCCAGCCAATCATCACACAACCCTAATGATAATGAGGACGGTACCAAGGAATGATGGGAGGCGGGGGTGGGCACAAATTGTTGTTGCAATAAACGAAGACGCACACTCGGCGCAGCGCGGGTTAGAAGGGTTGCATCATTCTTCGATAATTGGCGGTGATCATGGCAGGTCCAGCAGGTGTTGGCCAGAGTACATGAAACCAAGAATCACAGGTTTTGACTTTTTTGAAGTTTTTTTCTGCATGTGTGTCGGTGCCCAGGATAATAAAGTGGGTGCGTTTGTCTGTCTGTCTGTCTGTGTTTGTCCATGCATGTGTGTGTGTGTGTGTGTGTGTGTGTATGCATGTGTGTATACATTTCTGTGTTTGATCCCTGTAGCCTTGTTGCCTTTGAGTAATGGACAAACTGCCGCACTGTCCATTGGCAAGCTAGAGATTGCAGCGACGAGACGGGATAAGACGCGGCGCAGAGATTATCACCATGGCGATGTAGAACATTGTGACGACTCGGCTGTTCATTGTGTGTATCACGAGGCAGTATGCGACGGGGATGGAAATGGCGTGCGGAATACATGCCACACGTCGTCGTCATCCTGCGCTGAAGGGACTTCCCCATCAAGCCACTCGGCCGAGGAGAATGGTGTCTGCCGATCGATGCCGTCACTCGGTGACTCCCCATGCCAGCGGCACAGCAATGCACAGCCAATCACTGGCCGTCGGCACACGTCATCGCACCGTAACCATGAGAACGGCTATGATGACGTTATAGGACCCTGCGGAGATGATGGTGATGTCAGCGCTGACTGCAATGGCGAGCGCGGGAGCTGCAGACAGATATCGCTATGCGATGGTGTCGGGACGTGCACCGGCACTTGCCATTGTTCTGGTGATGCCATGACCCGGCGTGATCACTGTGAACAATGTCACAATGCTACGGATGCGGTGCAAAACGGAGAATTACCGCGCCATTCACGTGCCGTGCAGTTTAACCACATTACCCCGACCAATCAGCATCAGACTGGTGACAGCCATCACGCAGCTGCCTCCTCTCCGTGTGCTCGCACTCGTTGCGCCGAACGCGAGGGTCAGACGTGCCCGAGCACATCGTTGACGTGTAACCATTCTCGCGCTCAACGGCTAGCAATGCCAATGGCGAATGCGTATCTGCATGATTGCGGTGAAACGTGTGTGGACCGTGCAAATGACCCTGCTGCCTGGCAATGCACACGCTCTCTCATCATTGAGACGGCTACGAAGCATGCTGCCGAGTCGGGGTCCGATACCGGAATGCTGGTGATATGTGTGACCAGTGTCTCGCCGGTGGTGTTCGTTGGGACCAGCGACTGGAGGTGGTGAGTCCATTGCTCTGCGTGTATGGACGGGTGGGGTTGGAGTGGGGATCTGTGTGTGTGTGTGTGTGTGTGTATGTCTGTGTGGGTGTGGGTGTTGCTATGGCTTCTGCTGTAGCATTGCTATCATCGCCTGCGGCGATGTGCGTCAAGTGTCGAATGGTCAAATGGTGTGTGAAACGGCATGCCCAATTCTGCGCTCGTGTTCTCACTTGAAATTTCAGACATTCGCTATCATTGTGTACGTAATAGGCAAGATCAAGGTGTGGGTGTGCGTGGGCGCGTGGGTGTGTTTTGTTTTCCCATAATCCTCGACGAACAAAAGGAAACAGAGATTCACAACAGACTCTACCATTACAATAGATAGTGGTAGAGGCACTAGTATCACAATGAACTGTACAGAGAGCTGTTGCAGAGACAAACAGACAGATAGACAGCGGGAGAGACAAGGAGAAAGACGAGAGAAAAGAGAGAGAGTGTGAGAGAGAGAGAGAGAGAGAGAGAGAGAGAGAGAGAGAGAGAGAGAGAGAGCCTGGTAAAAGGTTTTCAACACTTCTTCGCTTTGTTTGAGCTGTGTTCATTAACTGCATCTGCGCCTTGATCCTAGATGGTGGTAGCGCTGCTTTATATGCGGAAACCTCAGTCTAAACTGAGTCTCACGCGAACCGTAATTTTTTCTGTGCATGTATATGCCAACTCAGCCCCTTTTTTTCTTGTTGTTCCTGTTGTCAGGTACCGTCGACTGTTGCTGTTGGTGTTACGCAAAGCGCAGGTGGACTCACTGCTTGCCTGGTTCTCCACCCTCGGCGGTGCACACTCTGCACTCGGTGATTGTCTACCAGAACATGTAAGTTAGCACAGTGTAGAAGGTATCATCCGTGCTAGCGAAGCACTTCGAAATACAAGTGCTGTAAACTGCCTAGTGGTAACGACATATTTTAAATGTTTGCTAATTTCGCGACAAGAGCATAACGCGACTATTAACCATCGTGAAATCAAACTTCAACAGTGTGTGTATATGTCTGGCCGCAGTGCTCCGCAGACATTCGCCGTCGTAAACTCTCGATTCTGGTCAGATTTTGAATGTGAAAATTTGCCTGGCGGTGCTCCAAGACCTTTTTGATTACACTGAGCTGAAAATCTGATTTTCTCAAATTTGCCTCTTTGTGGGTCTGGCAACTCAGCTCTTGATGTGCAGTGTATCACGTTTTCCTATCTGTACAGTGCTGCCCAATGAAATCTGGCCACGTGCGTCAAGTGTGCACGTTCTTGCACCATTTTATGGCCCAGTGTTCGCCGGTCTCGGTCTAGTTCTGCGCAACGCCCGGCGCATACTTGCGGGACGCGGCGACTGGATTTCATTTGCAGTACTGTAGTTCAGCTTGAACACATGTAGGGCTGCTCAGCAGCGTTGCTGTCTGATGATCGGTTAAAACCGTGAAACTCAGAGTTACAGCAGAAACGTTTTTGATTCCTCTCAAGTGTGCGTAGCCTACTAGGTCAGCTTTGATGTGCTATCAATTTCAAAGTTTGCATATATACCAGGTGTGTGACTCTGTGCGTGTGTGTGTGTGTGTGCGCGCGCGTGCACGTGTGTGTGTGTGGGTGCACGCGCGCATGGGCACTTATCCTCTGAACGCTACATCATGTTTGCCCGGCATGTTGTAACGTGGTGTGACTTCCTGGGTGTTCTGCAGGCACATCACGCGGAGAGCGTTTCGCTAACACAACTACGCCTGTCGCTGAAGATTGGAGATGCCGGCCTGATATCACGTTGCTATCTCTTTCTAGCGCTTAGCTATCTTCAACAGTCACGCCTTCGCCAAGCCAAACTTATTATCAGGTATGTATAGTCTCATAGTGTGCATTTAGTGGAGGGAGTGCAACTTTCAACAGCTGCTGCTGCTGCCGTCCTGCCGACTTGTGGTACATGCGTAGCACTTGCATTGGGGCTTTGTACCTCTGTGTGTGTGTCTGTCTGTCTCTATGTCTCTGTCTCTCTCTCTCTCTGTCGAACTAAAGACCACCGAGACTAGCGACCAGCCTGGTACTACAGACCACTTCGCCAGGCACGGACGGTCTCGCATTCATACATGGTTGTGCAGTGCAAACCTCTAACCAAGGGCCACCTGCCACTAAAGACCGCTTTCTCTGGCCCCAGAGGGTGGTCGTTAGTCATAGGTTTTACTGTATTATAACAGCACTGTGCATACCACTGCGCCATACTGTAAAAGCCATATATATAACGAGTTAACGAGGAGAAATCTGTCGTTAACATAGAAATTGTTCAAATAGAAATCGATACAATACTGTTGCTATTGAGTGTTGAGAATGAGTGAGAATCGTTACCTTTTGTTCACGTAAACCAGTCAATTTTAGGAAATCGTTATATATGCGCCTCGTTAGAATAATGGCTTTTACAGTACTAGTAATTGCTGGAGTACTCATGTAGGGTATGTGCGTGTGTGTGTGTGTGCGTGTGTGTGCGTGTGTGTGTATGTGTGTTTGCGTGTGTGTCGCTGTCTTTACTGCCCGACTGCAGATCTCAGCGTGCGTGGATTCGATCTTCGCGCTTCTTGAGGGAGGACTTGAAGGTACAGACATGCTTGCGTGTGTGTGTGTGTGTGTGTGTAAGTGTATACGTGTGTGCACAAGTCCAAAAGGCCGACAGTAGTATGCACTAGTTAACTCTTCAGCCTTGCAAGCTATTGGAGAGTATTACATGTTCGTGAGTCTGACCACAAGGTACTGTGATTTCTACCGTACCTGTGTTCGTGAGTGTACACTTGTGTGTGTATGTGAGCTGACACATTTGTGTGTGTGTGCGTGTGTGTGTGTGTCTGTGTGTGTGCACGTGTCATGAATACATGAATGTGTGTCCTGCAGCTGTTCGCACTGTTCACGGCAACACGCAACAAGCTGCGATCCCTCGTACAGCAGCAGCAGCAGCAGCAACGGAAATGATGGTCTGCCAAACCTGCTCCTCCAAGATCATGAAGTATTAAGTATCTAGCACTGTAGTCTAGGCATAGGTGTGCAGTGGTGTGGTGGTACGTGAAATCCGACCCTCTTGGCTAGCGTAGCCTCGGGACTGTGCCGTTCTAGCACTGCTCACACCAGGCCATGTGCTCAGCACGGCTTTGCTCTCTTCACGCGGCTGGATTTCACCAAATCTTGTGAATCCAGCCGATATTAAAAAATTAAAATTCTGATTACTTCCGTCCTCACACGGGACAAACCTGATCAAGCAGTGAGATGACAATTTTCAGAATCAGTATTTACTATTTATTTGTTTTTTCGTCGTTACCCTTGTCTTCCATGCTTTTGTTTTTATTACAGTTCTTAATTTTTTTAGTCGAATTTTCTATTTAAATTCTTGTCATGAGATTGCCCAGTGACCTTGGGTCCTGCCACAATTTTTTTGGAAAGAATCAGAAATTTTTAATGTTTATTCTAGGGGTCAAACGGGTGTACCTTTACCTAACGAACGGGTAATTTTCTTAAGGTGGCAGTCTGGGTTCAGAGGGTCAAAAAACAAAGTTTCGATTTTCTGTATTTTTTCACTGGCAGCGTCTTGTGTATGGTCCAAAGGGTTTATCCTGAAAATTTGAGCGTAATCGGGTGCTTCCTTCCGGAGATATAGCCGCGCAAAGTCTGCACAATTGTTTTTGAAATACTGAAATATCAGCAAATTTCTACAAAATTTAGGTTTGCACACTATTCCGATTTTTACCGTCAATCTTTGAGCGATTTCATTAAAATTTTCTGGAGCGACTCCTGGTACTCCTCTGCGCTGCAGACTGACACTGTGACAGCCGCGCACGATCTTTGTCACCATGGCAACCAAGATAACTTTTGCGCATGCGCAAATTCAAAAAAATTCAAATTTCGACTCTCATGATCTCAGCTGATCGCTCTGCTGTTGAAACTAGTTACTTTTGGAGTAATTGTTTTGGAGTAATTGTTTCTTGGAGCTAACCCCTTCGTTGGCTACTATGGGGAAGTCTAGAGCCAAGGGAAAGCCCGGACGATCTAAGAAAAGGAAAAGAACGTTCTATGGAGTGTCTCAGGCGCCGAAGGCTCCCTCTGGTGAAATTTCGCCTGCAAAACAAATTCCTGACTTGCCACTGTCTGATGACGACCTTGAAGTGTCAGCTGAAGCCACGTCTTCAAACAGCGATAGTGATGGAAGTGGCGGTGAAGTCGACAGCAGTTCCTCCGACAGTGACTTGGATGAAGAGTGTGAGGAAGGGGCGCATGGATTTCGCCTGATTGATCTCGAGTGCCTTCAGCAGCTTTTGTCAGCTGCAGTTTGTTGCAGTGGCTGTAATGGCGCAGTCACGATCAGCGAATCGCAACGGGGAGGCCTTGCATCATGCCTGGAGCTTTCCTGTGTTAACTGCGGCGACATAGCAAGCGAATTTATGTCCAAGAAGTTCAATCGGGTCTGGGAGGTGAACAGACGAGCAGTATTCGGAATGCGACTGATTGGCCGTGGACGTCAATCAATGGTAAAGCTGGCGGGTGCACTGAATATGCCATCACCTATGAGTCGGTCGACATTTTACAGCCATGCTAAAGGCCTGCATTCCGCGTCCAAGAGCGTCGCTGAGCGTAGCATGACTGAGGCAGCTGAGAAAGCAGTGTCCGCAGCAGATGGGGGTAGCGATATCGCTGCTTCCTATGACGGTACCTGGATGCGCCGAGGATTCGCATCGCTCTTCGGAGCCTTCACTATAATTGCATATGATGTCGGCAAAGTGGTGGACTGCGAAGTGCTTTCAAAGTTTTGCCACAAGTGCACGCACTTGGCGTCTAGAAAAGAGAAGGGAGAGCTAACCAAAGATGACTATGATCGACAGATTGCCGAACACGATTGCTCAGTCAACACCACTGTATCAGCTCCTGCCATGGAGAGTGCAGCCGCCAAGACTCTGTGGGCCAGGTCCTTTGAGAGCCGCAAGCTGAGGTACACCACCTACATTGGTGATGGAGATACCAAGAGTTTTAAGGCTGTGCGTGACGCTTGTCCGTATGGGCCCGAGGTGCCTGTAGTCAAGGAGGAATGTGTCGGCCACGTTCAAAAACGCATCGGTACCAGCCTAAGAAAGCTGAAGAAAAACCTTGCGGGCAAGAAGAGTGCTGATGGGCGCACTATAGGCGGACGTGGTCGCCTCACGGATGCCATGATCGACAAGCTGCAAGCCTACTATGGCATGGCTGTGCGGAACAACAGCGGAGACTTGCAAGCCATGGCCAGGGCCATATGGGCATCCCTCATGCATCGTGCATCCAGCGACAGTAAACCTCAGCACCAGTATTGTCCGCCTGGAATTAACAGCTGGTGTAGATGGCAGCAGCAACAGGCAGGTGGTGATGTCTACGCCCACCACAATATCCTGCCAGAGGCAGTATGGAAGGAACTGAAGCCGGTCTACATTCGGTTGTCCGACCGGAGTTTGCTCGAGCGCTGCCAGAAGGGTGCTACGCAGAATCGCAACGAAGCGTTCAATGGACTCGTGTGGCAGTTGTGTCCAAAGACAGGCTTTGCATCCGCTCCCACTGTCCAGATGTGCGTCTACCTGGCCGTGGCCTGGTTCAATGATGGAGGTGTGGCAGTGAAACGCGTTCTGGACGAGATGGGCCTCCCTACTGGACACCATACGACACGTCTCATCAAGCTGCTAGACCGTGAGAGACAGGCACATGCTGCCAGAAAGAAGTCAGAAGAAGGGAAGAGGTCACGAAAGAAGCGAAGGAGGATCAGGAAAGGCATCCAGGATGAGCAGCAAGAGGAAGAAGGTTTGACATATGAAGCTGGTGGCTTCGACTAAGTTCTAGTAAGTTCTAGTTGGACAGACATACCTCCATCTGTACTTGCACAGAGCACTTTTTTTCTCCATTTTCCACTGAGTCCCGTACCTCTTAGACAGCGTAGCGAAGAACCTGTAAGTCACAGACCCCATAAACCATACATTTTTGGAAACTGTGAGCATTTATCAAGGTGCTAAGTGTCATGGATTTTTATATTTGTCTAGTAGCTTTGAGTAAAGTGCTACTGATCGAGGACCTAAATTTTGCGCGATTGCATGATTTTTGTTTGACAGCTTGAGTACTTTGTTCTGAATATGATTTCAAAATTCCGCTCCACTTAGCACCTAGGTATATGTGAAGGAAATCCTGTGGAGCACTCAGTTTCTACCCAGCTTCTTTCTGCGTTTGCATATTGCGTCTAAGGTATTGGTGGTACGGCATAATCGCAGATTTGACTATTGTGTCTGCGGATTCCCATGTGTGAGCTTGATTTATACTTCATTGGACTTAGTGAAATACACTGGGTATGTGGTCAAGATTTGAGCAAAATTCATCAATTATTATGGAAGTTACGGCTGTGTTCATGCGGTCGGGCCGCGAACCCAGACTGCCACCTTAACGGGCGGGTTAACGGGTACCCTTTAGCAGCCATGTTTAATTTTTTTGCGCAATTTTCACATAAATCAAGATTTTAATTCATCTGTTCTCGGCTTGCATTTTGATATCACATTGTGTTTCGCAAATCGATTGGTGTCTGATAGTCGCAGGAGTACATCTACTAGGTGCGAAAATGCAACAACAATGCAGACATCCAGCGTGGAGTCGTAAATTATTGACTCCCGCCTGGAATACACGATCCCAGCAGTGTTGCTCCGTACTGACTGGTTCATCAAAATCCAAACAGATACCCTTTTACTAACGGTACCTGAGATTAACGGTCGGGTACCCGGTACACCCCTTTGACCCCTAGTTTATTCTGTGCACTCGTACTGTCGTAGTGCCGCGCCCCGTTGTGCATGAACCGGTGAGTGTGAGAGACGTGTGGGCGACGTATGAGTTCTCCGATACACACCCACACCTGTTGAATAGTTGGCAGCAGGTCACAAGGCGAAGGACACACCGTGTCAAACAAGGTTTACATAATACATACACCTACACATGTTAGCACACGAAGAGACGAAGCCAGTTGTAAATCTGATAAGGCCTTTCGTACCATCACTCTTCTCAAATCAGTACAATAGTCATGGTGATAATGCGACCTACACCATGGAGTCGATCCTGTGGAAAACGAATGAATGTTTGCCGAATGCTTGTATACGGTTGTACCATGTTTTCAGGGGAAGTGCAGTCTCTGTTGTGCCCAATCGTAATGGGTGGCCTGAATTGGCAATTCAGGCCACCCATTACGTATGATTTTATATATAATGCAGTGGCAGTACCAGGCGTGGGCCATCCCCTGGATTATCGAAATGGGTGCCTTATCATTTTTCTGTTGTTTTTACACATCACGTGTACTCTTGCCAGCATGTACGGATGTACAATAAAGTACTCATAAACTGAAAAATAAATAAATAAATACAGGCCACCCTAGCAGCATATTGTACATGTATGCAAGAATACAACAGTACAGTCGTGACCAAAGAAATGATTCAAATCCGACCCGTCAGTCAAAAGTAGCGCCGAGTACCCATTAATCCATGACATCACGCACGGTCCGAAAGCCCATGCGAGGGCCGCACGCCGGCTGTGCTCTTCCTACACATATCGTGTGTGTATCATGCATAAAAATGTATGATATGCAGTGCTGCTGAATTGTCCGATTTATCGCATCCTACAACTGAACACTTCCTTCCCCATATAGTAAGTCATAATTATACTTACTCTAATTTCAGAAATTTTACAATATTTTCACCTTTTTCGGTATGAGGGCAAAAGGCCAGGTTAGGTGAACAGATGTTTGAGGTGCAGAGAAGCAGTTCCCTATTCAGTACTGGATTGTGCGTGTCAGTGTTTGTTCGGTGTTGTGATATTTTAGGTATGAAACAGACGCACCGAAAGTACCGAAAATAGAAGTACACCGAAAATGTGTGAAATAATTACAGTAATTACATGTGCATAGTATAGGCCGACGCGGCCACCTTTAATACCACACGCGGGGAAGAACGGCCTATTTCTTGTGTGTTACGTGTGCACCAGGGAGTCATCAAGTATTCAGTATTTCGACGACTCCCCCGTGTACAAAGTAGTAGGGCCCAGGGCTGGATTCACGCACAGTCCAGGTTTTACTGCAAGGTTAACGTTTATGGTAACTATCAAGAAACAGCAGCAGCATAATCATAATGAGCAGAGCACAGCACGCACGGAGTAGTAAAATTACTACCCCCAGATAGCAAGCATGTGAGCAGGCCACGAGAACTTGGACACACAGCATAATGTACAGGCGGGCGGGGGACAGCAGTAGACACTAGACAAGAGAGAGAGAGAGAGGAAAATTCTTTGTACACACGCCCCCGCTGAGTAAGCCTACAGCTAGCACGGCCACTGGCCAGGAGGGCAGACAACAGACAATGTACAGGCGGCGGTGGCTACAGCTGTAGATAGCCATGGCGACAGAGCAGCGATAAGTGCAACCATGGCGACAGAGTAGTCATCACTGCAACCGTGGCAACAGAGCAGTGACCAGTGCAACCATGGCAACAGAGCAGCGACCAGTGCAACCATGGCAACAGAGCTGAGCTATAATACAGTGATGGCAAAGCTGTACAATAACATGTTAGTCAGCGTTTCGTGGTTAAAAAAACCAAACAACGACGGCATGACTTGGAGAAGAAAAAAACATACAAACTGCGAGAATATGGCAAATTTCTCAAAAGAATCTATTTATCAAATCTCGGCAATTACCCAAAGGGAAGAGTGCCAATCAAGACGTTCGTAAAACTGCACAGCAATGCGTGACAGCTGAAAGTTTCACGACTATTGGAGACAGCTGCAGAGCACCAGAGCTAGCGGAAGGGACTGACAGCTTGCACAAGCACGACAAGTCAGAAGAGAATAAATATGCATCGAAGCTGGACGCAACTAGCGATGTGCGGTGCGCGGCACACAAACCGGCAAAACGACAGTCGTTGTGAGAAGTACGTTCTGTGCGCTCTTTTAGAATGACACTACCTCCATCTTGGAGCAAACGAGGAGACACGTACAACTGTGTATTGTGCACGGGCAGGGATAAAAGCAACATACGTGGTGCATATACGCACACACGTGCACACAGAGATGCACACACACACACGGTTGTACACACGCACATATACACACACACCACACATATGCACACACCTCAGACATCCCATGCACACACACACACACACACACACACACACACACACACACACACACACACGCACAAACACACACGCACACACACGCACACACACACACACACGCGCGCACACACACACACACATGCGCTCAAAGCTCACAGCCTGACGGCAGAGAACGAGCGCAGCTTGGAGTCCAGAACGTCGCGAATGGCGTCCAGAGCCTGCTGATGGCTGTCCGTGATGCCCTTGTGTACTTTCTCCACAGCAACGGAATACTCCGACGGCATCTGCAAGCATAACCACCACACGGAATTGAAGGGAAACACAGACGTATGACGTCGCCATAACACACCAAGTGGGAAGAACGTCACAAAGGACGTCTTAGAAATTAATATTCAAATTATTAATGGACTCAGATGGAGAGCCAAGATTTAATTTATACAAAGAGAAGCAGTTAGCAGTAGAAGGTCAGTACCGTCGGTCAGTATCGTGCAATGTTATCGCATGAGCTGATTGTTTAGTATCTGGTGGTGTTAGAGGACAGTATAGCGTAACTTGTAGTTCCTTGGTCTTTCTCTTTGTATAAATTATTAATGAGTGCATTATTGCACACCATGCATGAAAAATGAGAACTGGAGAGAGAGAGAGAGAGAGAGAGAGAGAGAGAGAGAGAGAGAGAGAGAGAGAGAGAGAAGAGAGAGAGAGAGAGAGGGAGAGAGAGAGAAGAGAGAGAGAGAGAGAGAGAGAGAGAGAGAAGAGAGAGAGAGAGATCACAACAACAAACACATCACCACACTGTACACACCTGTTCAATGACAGCAGCCGGCACCGACAGCAGCTGCTTGTTGACCAGCTCCTTGTGCGTCGTGTCCGCATAGGCGCGTACGTCTGACAGGATATCACCGAGGCGAATGTGCGCTCCACTCAGCAGATCTAGCAGTTCACCGAGCACTCCCTGGATAAAACCCAGCATACAGTACAGTGGAAATTTGATAAGACGAATCTCTATGGGTAGCAGGAAGTTTACTCAGCACCCGGGTCGGGGGTACTTCTTATCAACACTCACCGTTGGCTTCTTCTTCCTGGCCTTCTTGCTGGTACCACGTGAACAAGTGACAAAGTAGTTTGCACAAGACAATAGCAGCACCACCGAGCTGAGACTCTGTGTGACGTGGACATGCAGCAAAGACAACAGATGCACAGACACAGACACAGACACACACGCGCGCATGTACGCAAAGACAGACAGGCACAGAGACAGACATACTCACACACACATCCACACAGAGACACACACACACAAACAAGCAAGCAGGTAATTTACTATACAAGTATACATACACACAGACAACATACATACATAGACACATTTGCACTTCTACTGGTCCGCTGCCTAAACTGGTCACGTAAGTCTCCCCTTGGGAGAGGGCAGAGAGACTCAAAAGTAATCTTGGAAAGATAACTCAATTGGCCATTGAACTGCTCAACGACCGACACACAGAGACACCGACTACAGTTGCATCATCCCTGTCTGGAGTGGTCCGGGACAGAGGCTGGGGATCTGTGGAGTGGCCATGCCGAGTCAAAAGTGTAGCTGACATCGTGTGCTGCAGTAGTACTATCAATGGCATAGTAGTTGAGACATTTTCACTTGCATGCATACTGGATAGGTAGAGCCGTTACAGTAACACATCATGCATTATGATAGTAATATCACCAGTTCACCACGCCTTCACAAAAATAACGACAACGATGACAACAGCAGCAGCAGCATCAGCAGCAGCAGCAGCATCAGCAGCATCAGCAGCAGCAACAGCAGCATCACTCGCCATCATCAGCAGCATCAGCATCAGCATCATCATCATCAGCAGCAATACTAATCTTACATCAACGACATTGACAAGTGCCTCCAGGCCGCAGCCAACGAATCTGCGAGAGTCGCCGTCCACTACGCACAGACCTGCCCGCGCTCTCGCAAAGCCGTCTGCAAATACAAACATACACATACCGGTACATTCACATGCATGCACAAATGCATCACATATGCATACAAATGCAGTGAAATGCACACATGCACATACATGCACACACACACACATACACATGTAAATACACCCACACGCACACACCCGTCCAACGGCGAAGTGATGGAAATGTAACATAATTGCGGCGGAACCAGATACTTTACCATGATGATGTGCCAGGCCCGAACTATTTGTGTAATAATATCAAGAGTACATAACCTCCCAGAGTGTGCAACGCCGATCCAGCTCTGCACAGGGTCTTGGTCGAGTGGAATCGGATCTTCTGATGTCATGCGTACACTTCACACCAGCGCAAGGCCGGTCTCGAGGCAGGGCACCATTGTTTTTGATCCAAGAGTACCCGCGACTCCCCGGGTTCCCCTCAGATGTGTACGGTATTATGACGCAAAGATCCGATTCCGCTCGACCAAGACCCTATGCACAGCTGGATCAGGCGTTGCACACTCTGGGGGGTTATGTACTCTTGATATTATTGATTAGAATCGCAGTTTAAAGAGATCTTTACTGGAGTTGAGGAGTGAGATTTCATGATTTCATAAATGAGTATAGTACAGAGAGAAAGTATGCCACATGAGACGCATACAACATAACGCACAGTACAGTACCTTCCAATGCAGAAGCAATGCCGTCGAGGCTTTTCCGTACAGCGTCTAGCTGATCAGCCTCGCTGACGTGGCTGGAAGCTGTGCACAACAACAACAACAACAACACATACACACACACCAGTGGCAAAGGCGATGACAACAACAAAAACAACAATCAGAAAAAGAACAAGAACAGCAGCAGCAACAACAACAGCAGCACCAGACGCCTCCGAACACACAGACACACAAATGCAGAGACGTGCGCATACACACACACTCACATGCACGCACGCACGCACACGCACACGCACACACACACACACACACACACACACACACACACACACACACACACACACACACCACACCCACACACACCACACACACACACACACACACACACACACGTCCCTGCACCCAATCGCAAACATGATCGGTACCTTCCAAATCCGCCGACATGCCCTCCAAGCTTTTCCGCACAGCCTCAACAGGGTCGGCCACACTGCCATTCTTACTGCCTACAACATAAAAAAAGAGAAATCCAAATACAGCAGAACTTCTATATACAGTGAAACCTGTCTAAGACGACCGCTCATGGGGACCTTCAAAATAATGGTCT